GGAGGCTATAACCCTTATAAATATTTATGCACCCAACATAGGGACACCTAAATATTTAACACCAATCTTGATGGACATAAAGAGAGAGACTGACTAACACAATCATCGTAGGTTTTTTTAAAACAACTTATTGACATCAATGGACAGAATCTTCCAGGCGTAAAATCAACAAGAAAACAGTGGCCTTAAATTACACACTAGATCAGATGGATTTAACTGATATTTTCAAAGCATTTCATTCCAAAGCAACAGAACATACATTCTTTTCAAGTGTACATGGAGCATTTTCTTTCTAGGACACAAAACAAGTTCCAATAAATCAAAGATCAAAATCACATCAAGCATTTTCTCTGATTATATTAAAATAAAACTAGAAATCAACTACAAGAAAAAAAATACACATAAAGTCATTAAGGCTAAATAACATGTTATTAAATAATAAATGGGTTAACAATGAGATCAAGGTAGAAATAAAAAGTTATCTTGAGCAAATAAAAATGAGAACACAACAACCTAAAATCTATTGGACACAGCAAAAGCAGTCCTAGGAGTGAGATTCATAGCATAAGTCTACCTCAAGAAACAAACAAACAAAAAACTCAAATAAACAATCTAACTTTACACTTAAACTAGAAAACAACAAACAAAGCCCAAACTGAATAAAAGAAATAAAAAATAATGATTAGAGCAGAAATAAGTGGAATAGAGTCTAAAAATATGCAATAGATTGACAAAACCAAGAGCAGCTTCTTTGAAAAGAGGAGCAAGAGTGACAAACCTTTGAAATCAGACTCATTAAGAGAAGACCAAAATAAATAAAATCAGAAATAAAAGAGGAAAACTGACACCAAAGAAAATACAAAGGACTGTAAGAAAATATTACAAACAACTATATGCCAACAAAGTTGACAATATGGAAGAAATAGACAAATTCCTAGAAACATGCAATCTTGCAAAATTAAGTCAGGAAGAATCAGAGAATCTAAACATAGATTATAATTAGTGAAAAAAAAAAATCCCAGCAAATAAAAGTCCTGAACCAGAGGGTTTTACAGTTAAATTTAACCAAACATTTGAAAGAGACCTAACAACTATAATTCTTAAACTATTCCAAAAATTTCAACAGGAGGGAAAATTCCGAAGCTCTTTCAACCTCCCAGAATTATCCTAATTCCAAAATCAGATAAAGACACTATAAAAGAACAAATTATAGGTCAATACTCCTGATGAACACAGATGTTAACATCCTCAACAAAATATTAGCTAACTAGATTTAGGAATTACATTAAAAAGATCGTATACCATGATCAAATGAAATGTATTCACGTGATGCAAGGTTGTTACATATTCACAAATTAATAAATGTGACCAAAAATACGAAAGATAAAAATCATGTTATCATATAATAGATGCAGAAAAAGCATCTGACAAAATCCAGCAGCCATTTTTGATAGAACATGGTATTGTACTTCAACACAATAAAGGCCGTATATGACAAACCCACAGCCAGCATCCCACTAAGTGGGTAAATATTACAAGCGTCTGTTTCTCTTAAGAACAAAAACAAGACAGGGATGCCAATTTCACCATCTTTATACAACGTAATACTGAAAGTCTTAGCCACAGCAATCAGAGAAGAAGAATAAATAAAAGGCATCCAAATTAAAAAAGAGTAAGTTAAACTGTCATTATTTGCAGATGACATGATATTGTACATAGAAAACTCTAAAGACTCCACCAAAAAACTTCTAGGCGGCATTTCTATACATCAATAATGAACTATCATTAAGAAAAGAAGCCCCTTTTACTGTTGCAACAGAAATTAAGGTACCTAGGAATAAATTTAACCAAGGATGAAGAGGCCTGTACTCAGAAAACTATAGGACATTAACATCATTAAAATGTCAATAGTACCCAAAGCAATCTATATAGTCTATGCAATTTCTACTAAAATACCAATGTGGTATTTCACTGATCTAGAACAGATATTCCTAAAATATATATGAAAGCAAAAAAGACGCTGTATAGCCTCAGCAATCTTGGGGAAGAACAATAAAGTAGGAGGGGGTCACAATACATCTAGCAAGGGGTTTATTTCCAAAATATATGAAGAATGTACACAATTCAATACCCGAAAGAATTAAAATACAGGCAAAGAACCTGAATAGGCACTTCTGCAAAGAGGACATACAGATGAACATACAGAGGACATACAGTAAGACATATGAAAAAATGTTCCACATCACTAATCACCAGAGAGATGCAAATTAAAATTATAATATCACATGCTGCCCTGGCCAGTTTGGCTCAGTGGTTGGAACACTGGCCTGTGGACCAGAGAGTCCGGGTTTGGTGTTTGGTTCCCGCTAGGGGCACATGCCACAAAAAAAAAAAAAAATCACACGCTAAAATGACTGCCATAAATAAGTCAACAAACAACCATTGGTGAGGATGTAGAGAAAAGCAAACCCTCATGCACTGTTGGTGAGAATGCAAACTGGTGCAGCCACTATGAAAAACAACATGGAGTTTCTTCAAAAAATTTAAAACTGGAATTGTCTTTTGAACCACCGATCTCAATTCTGGGAATATATTCTAAGAATCCTGAAACACCAATCAGAAACAATATATGTACCCCTATGTTCACAGAATCAATGTTAAAATAGCCAAGATCCAGAAACACTCAAGTGCCCATCAGTAGATGAGTGAATAAAAAAACGATGGTACATTCACACAATGGAATACTATGCAGCATAAAAAAAGGAAATTTAAGCCCTGGCTGGTTTGGCTCAATGGTTATAGCATCGGCCTGAGGTCCAGGGAGACCCGGGTTCGGTTCCCGATAAGGGCACGTACCTTGGATGCAGTTTGTCCCCAGTCCTGGTTGGGTCGTGCGGGTAGCAACCACTCGATGTGTCCCTTTCATGTCAATATTTCTCTCTCTCTCTCCCCCTCCATTCTACCTGAACAAAAAAGGGAAGAAATGTCCTTGGGTGAGGATTAAAAAAAAAAGGAAATTTTAGCCCAGTGGGTATGGTTCAGTGGATTGAGTATCATCCATGGACTGAGAGATCCCGTTTGATTTCTGATCAGGGCACATGCCTGGGTTTTGGGCTCTGTCCCCTGTAGGGAGTGTGCAGGAGGCAGCCAATGGATGTTTCTCTCTCAAGTCGATGTTTCTATCTCTCCCTTCTTCTCTAAGAAATAAATAAAAACATTTTTTTAAAAAGGGAAATTTTACCTTTTTGGACAGCATTGGTGAACCTGGAGATTAATTATGCTAAGTAAATTAAACCAGTTAGAGAAAAGCAAATATACCACATGATCTCACTTATATGTAGAAATATAATAAAAATCAACTGATGAACAAAATATAAATAGGCATGGATGCATGGAACAGACAGATCTCAGAGGGGACAGCAAAGAGGGGTTCTAGATAAAGAAAAGTGAAGAGATTTGCCAAAGAATATATGTACATAGTCCATGTACACAGACAACAGGGTGGTGACGGCCAGAGGGAAGAAGGGGCAGAGGCTAGGTGGAGGAGGGCTAAGGCAGGTAGGGTCGCTGGGGGACTATAATAGTGTTAATTTAAAACATGTACCTCATTGTCCTGCCAGAGGGGCTCAGTTGGTTGGAGCATCATCCTGTACACCAAAAGGTTGCTGATTATATTCCAAGTCAGAGAATATATCTGGGTTGCAGGTCTGAATCCTGGTCAGGGTTCATGTGGGAGGTGACCAATTGATATTTCTCTCACATCGGTATTTCTCTTCTCTCTCTTCCTCCCTCTCTCGAGAAACATGAAGGTTTTACTTTTCAACTTATGACTTTGAAAAAGTAACTTGGGTTTTATTTGAAAATGCAGAAGCCTCAATTTTTCTTGGTAAATAACAGACTAACTTAATTGCAACTTAAACCAGACTGAAAGATGTACTTTAAAAATGAACACACCTCTGAATGAACATACTACTTTACAGTAGGCACCTCAAAAACTATCAGACATGTGAAAATTTAAAAGTTTTATGTTTATACAATTATATATTGATATTTTGTTATATATGTATCTATATATGCATATATAAAATATATGTAATCAGATTTGAAAATGAACAAAAACTGGGTCTTTACAGAAGTCTCTCTAAAATTCAAAGAGTGTAAAACACTTTAAACATGAAACAATTTTAATAGACGTTTCTATACAATGCTAAGTAGTTTTATTTACACATAGAAAATGTAAAAGGAGTAGTGTGTTAAATGACAAAACTCCTTAATATATAATGACAGGTAAATCTCAAAAAAATAAAAATAAAATAAAATAAACAACATTCCATTCACAAGTATTTTCAAGCAATAAATATGTATTCATAAATAGTGTGAATCTGTATCAAGACTGAAAACAAAAATCACAAATCTGAAGTTTATTCCTTACTCTATGTGCAATCCATTACCTTTGTGTCTTGACTATTATGCTATTAAATTAAAAAAATTTTATTTTGAACCCAAAATATAATTACTGTGACTTCTAATCAATACACACAAACATGAAGCAGTAAAAATATTTTCTCATCTAATTTTTCACGTAAAAAAAAAGTTGATCAAAGATATAAATTTATGCCCTGGCCAGTTTTGCTCAGTGATTAGAACACAGGCCTGCGGACTGAAGGGCTGAGGGTTTGATTCTGGTCAAGGCCGTGTACTTTGGTTGTGGTTCGGACCCTAGCCCTGGGTGGGGTTGAACGGGAAGCAGCTGGTCAATGTGTCTCTCTTACATTGATGCTTCTGTCTGTCACTCATTCCCTCTTTCCTTTCCATTCTATCTAAAAATCAATGGAAAAATATCCTCAGTAAAGGATTAACAACAACAAAATATTATAGATTTGTTATTTTAATTGAACAAATGACCGGCTAGAACAGTCTACCGCCCCCCGTAGGAATGTTCTTAAAAGGGTAAAATATAGCTAAAAATAAATTTTTCAATCTAGAAATAAAGAAACATAAAATGAGTCAAGTCACTAGTATGTTGAAAATCACCATTTTTGTCACATATCATGAAATGTGTTTATTATTAAGTACAAATGGATATGCTTTGTGAGAATCTTGGAGTAGAGGCAGTACTCTCATATGTCAAACTGAATGACACTCTGTTCTTGAAAGGTTGCATAGGAATAGCTTTTAGTCAGCAGACTTATGAAACAGCTACAAAACCAGTGGTGCAAAACTTCCCAGAAGAGCAGAAAAGGCATCATTTAACATTCATGGGGCAATATCAAGAGGAGGAGGATGATAACGAAGGAACCTAAAATTAAAAATAAGGATGTTAATTGTTTTGGTATATTAATTCTTACCAATATTCTCTAGCTAATGGCTATAAACAATATACCACCTACTTGTAAAGTGAATTAGAAACAAACACTTAATGTCTAAAGTTTAGCAGCCTGTTAGGTGATATGTTCCTACTATATCCATTGTGACCAGTTTCTTAAGTGTTCCAAATCACTAATCCCATTTTCTGTACTTCATTCTTTAATCAAAAATCTTAAACATTATTAAATTCACAAGTTTTTTTAGATGCTAAAAGAGAGTGTTGTCAAAAAATAATTTAAAATTTTAATTAAAATCCCACTAGTGCCTTGGCTGGTTTTGCTCAGTGGTTAGAGTGTCGGCTCATGGACAAGAGTTATGGGTTCGATTCTGATCAAAGGCATGTACCTTGGTTGCAGTTCATCCAAGGCCCTGGTCAGGGTCATGTGGGAGGTAATCAGTTGATGTGTTTCTCACATCGATGTGTCTCTCTCTCTTCTCCCTTTTTCCCCTCTATATGAAGATAAACAGAAAAATATCCTCAAGTGAGGATTAAAAAAAAAAACCTCTCACTAGTGAGTGACTGGCATATATATTTCACGTGTATGTCATAAATATTTTCTTTATCAAGCAATCCTGAGAGTCACCTAATTAAAAACACCAGAAACTTAATGGTAAAATTTACAATCAAAGGCACTGGGACTGGATCAATATCAACTCAGGACTAACTACAGGATTTGCATTCATAAAGCCAAGAACCTCAGTTCTTGAACTTAATTTGTTCTGGAAGGCTGTACAAGAAGCGATTTGTTCAAAAATGGAATCATTTTCCCACTATAAATAATGTAAATTGAATTAATTCATTCCAGACCCCTAAATGATTCTGTTTTTTTTTTTTTTTTATCCTCACCCGAGGACATTTTTCCATATTTTTTTTTTTTTTTTTTTTTAGATAGAGCGGGAGGGAGAGAGAGGAACAGAGAGAGAGAGAGAAACATCGACGTGAAGGGACACATCGAGTGGCTGCCACCCGCACGACCAACCAGGGCCGGGGACAAACTGCAACCGAAGTACGCGCCCTTAGCGGGAACCGAACCCGGGTCTCTCAGGACCACAGGCCGACGCTCTAACCGCTGAGCCAAACCGGCCAGGGCTAAATGATTCTGTTTTAAATTCTCTTATATATAATAAATGTCTAATGTACTGTTTAATCTAAGCAAACACTTCTTTTCTTAAATTTATGGAATCACCCCCTATTATCCTTAAATCACTTTTAGCACTCATTACAGGGGTGTCTTTCCAGAGCATTCCATCTTTGTTTTTTGACGTATCACTGCTTCTGAAATGCTGTCATGGGTTAACTGCATTTGATTTATCCAAATCAACAATAGTTTTTCTACCTCTTCAACTGCCTGTGATCATTGTTTCTTTCACACCCTTAGCAGTGTCAGCACTCCTGATGGCCTCTTTACGCTTTAAAATTGTGCTAATCATGTTTTGCCAGCAACAAACGCAAAACTACAACAAAAAACCCTGAAAATATTCTCATAAGAATATTCATGAGATATTAATAATATTGGTGTATTATCCTTTGTTTGTGGCCAGAGAGATGTTTTTTGTCATGCTGAAATTTTGTTAGAAAACAGAGACATAGTTTCCGTGAACAACTTGGTCAAGAACTGAACCGTTTGAGATGGAAGACATTTGAGAATTAAGATATGACTGTAAATGCTATCCCAAGCAAACTGTCCTTAAAATAGAAAACTGTTGAATTCACAATATTATTAATTTAATTTTATGCATCTCATATATCATATTACTGAGACAAAAGCCATCATCAAATATTTCTTCCACAACTTTACTACTTATAGCAAGAACTAGGTGTTTGCTTTTTATTAATCCTCACCCAAGGGCATTTTTCCATTTTTTGTTCAGGTAGTGTGGGAGGGAGAGAGAGAGAGAAACACTGACGTGAAAGGGACACATCAAGTGGCTATACCTCCTGCATGATCTCAAGCAGGGCTAGGGACAATATGCAACTGAGTTATGTGCCTTAGCGAGAACCAAACCTGAGTCTCTCTAGCTGACGCTCTAATGGCTGATCCAAACAGGCTATGGAAAAACTAGGTTTTAAATCAATACAATTGAGCGCTGAAAACACAAGTACATTAAAAAATATTGATTTCTTTTTGGATTGTTCCTATAGCCATATATATATTTGGTTTCATTTGTTAAGTCAAATAGTATAAAAAGTATGATAATAATTTAAAAGAACACAAAAATTTAAAATGTAATTGTTTTGACTATAATTACGCATTTTCAGTAAGAAGACATACTAATACATATCAATTTATTACATATAAATTTCTTAGAAGTTTGAGAACACAGGAATATATATTTTTAAAAGCAATGAAAAATATAATATCTTTCTAATTACTGTCAGGTGGCAAAAACAAACACTGTTGCTTCACCACCCAGCCATGTACTCACATGTTGATTTCACTTACTAATGTAAACTGGTCATAGACTTGCAACAGGTCCTCCATTTTGTACTGTTCTAGCACCACAAAATTGTCCAGATTTCCACTTGTTTTTCGTGCACAGTCTTGGCAATGTACTGTGTAGGTCTTTTGGGAATTGCTTTCTTTAGTAACAAAAAGCAGATCAAAAACTTCCACCTATGTTATATAAGACCCCCCCCCAAAAAAAAACACTTAACAGAGATCGTTAAATTTTATTGCACCACTTTTGTGTAACTACAAAATTCTACTTTACGTGAAATTATGGATAGTGATTTTTCATTGAATGCAAGGTACTTAAAAAAAAAAACCAAAAGAACCCATGTATGTTTGTTTCAGACACCAGGTTTATTTTGTAGCACATCCAAAATAAATGCTAATGTACATATTTAGATATTGGCCTAAGGGAAGTAAACACTCATTACAACCACTAATTAAATATTAATTCTAAGTTTGATAAGTCAGGCTATTTTTATTTTATCCAGAATATAAAGTGCAAACAGATAAAAGTGATTGTTTCTTTCTTTTAACTTCTCCATAATAGTATTCACAGTGTGTTTGGAATATGTCTCCCTCTTACACTGAACTCCATAAAGGTAGTAACTATACCTAATCTTTTTTTGGACCTCTCTAGAGTGTATCATTGTGCTTAATGCTTAACAAAGTTTAAGTAAAACAAGAAAACCACTTGAATGAACATAAGCATGTTATTTTAAAAAGCTAAAAACTCACAGTTACCTAACAGTAAATGTTCAGTTCTAAGACTCATATGTGAAGGAAAATATTACAAAGTGTATTAATTAATGAGCATTAACATACAAAAAGACATTAATAACGTCTTATATAAAAAGAATGATGAATTGCAAAGGTTCAGCCAAGATAATGGATAATAGATGTATCACTTGTTTTCAAATACTAAAAGGATACATATTTACCTAAAGTATAATACCTAATCATAAACTGTTTGATCTTATCAAAATATACATTGATGAGCTTAGACAACATAAAAATTAAGCCAATAAATTTAATGAGTTTATTCAGAAATCTATCTAAAAGCTCTTCAACGGCTCTGCTAGAATTTTAAAGTTCATAAGGTTTCCTATTACTGTAAATAGGAAGTAATACAGCTTAGTGACCCCAGTTGAAAGTTTTGGGTTTTTCAACTTGTCATCATTCCCCATTCGATCAAGTACTCTGTGGATTTTACTTTCTAAACACTTCTAAATTTTGTTTCTTTTATATTCCTAACATTATGTAGTAGTGTAAGGAACAAAGACTATCCAATAGCCTCCAAACCGACCTCTTTTTCTACCTTCATGCTCTCCAATTATTAACCAACACTGTAACATTATTTTGACTTAGTCCTCTGTTCAAAAACTTTTAATGGTGCCACTGACCTCAGAATACAAATCAGATTTCTTGAGCTGAATTCCAGATGCTTTAGCAAGCTACATACCACTTATACCTACAGACTTCTAAGAATTTGCAGTCCATTTTCTAGTTACATTGCATTACTCAGACTTTATTACATGCAGTACTCATTTCCCTTTCACTATACTGTTCCTAAATCCTAGTGATGTTTTATATACCTTCTATTCTAGCCACTTTTTGCCTGTTAAAATCAAACCATTCTTTAAGGGGACACTTATGTGTTAACAAGTCCATAGGCCAAAAATACGCCAATTATTATTTAAAAAATTGTTTCTTCTCAATTTTTTTCTGATAGTCTATATTTAAATGTACAGCTTCATATTTCATCAGAGTCTCACAGACATCACAATTAGTTGTTTAAAACATGTCTTCTCCAAGTAGAATGTAAGCTCCTTCAGACTAGGTCCTATCTTTATTTCTGTACTCTTACAAGCCTTAGCCACAAAAGAAACATCAGCATAGCAAGAACTTAATGCTGATCTGCTTGGATCATTACCGAAACACATGTAGATTGTTGGTTTTGGTATACTTATGGATTGTTCTTAGTTGAAAATGAGACATTATTATCATATGTTAAGAAAGTACTACATGAATGTTTCTGTAGAAGATACTTCTGCATTAATATATAATGAAATATTATACAATCGGATAAAAATTTAATGTAACTGCTATAACAGTCAATGTCAATAAAAGCATTACATAAAAGTATAGGTAAATTTATAATTTAAAAAATCACCTAGAGAATCCACAATAAAACAACTGTCAATAAGAATGGTTACCTCACAAATGCTACAGTAATGTGCTGGTTCATCACTTGTCCTCCCATGCCATATAACCTCTTTTCCTGCTGTAATAAGAGCTTCCCTCAATGTCTGACACTGCTTTAGTACTTTCAGAAGACAATACCTATTGTGGAGAAAAATTATTCGTGATGACAAATAAATACTGAATATTCTTATAGCACATAGGACATACCAACAACAAATAATTTTTAGAATCTTGGTTCTATAGCCTAGTGATAGAAACATTTCCTTGTAAAATTTTTGTTTAATCCTCACCCAAAAATATTTTTACCACTGATTTTTATTTTTTTTAGAGAGAGTGAAAATAAACACACATACACACATATAGACAGAAACATCAATGTGATGCCAGGAATCAAATCTGTAACCTAGGTACATGCCTTTGAATGGGAATTGAACCCTCTACCCTGCTACCCTGCAGTGTGAGGGCTGACTACACTCTAACCACTGAAACACGCTGGCCAGGACCCTTGTCAATTTTTGGTATCAGATCAACTGATATTTGAATATAAAAATGTAATATTCTTAGTCTACAAAAACTCATCACTTGTTTGGGCAACTGAGAGAACTAAGTTTGTTAAATTTATCTTTGAATTCTAGGCTGGAACTGTTTTGATAGTAGTAATATAAGGAGGCATGTATTTCCACTGGGACACTCACAAACAGTTATCACTTACATAATTAATTTTAATATTCTGAGACCAAAACTGAAAATGATTTATGGATTTAGTTATTAGAGGATATGAAATCATAATACCAGAGAAAAAATATTGTTTCAATTCTAATTGGAAGGTAGTATAATGGTATATTTCATTTATATTGCCATGAATTTTCTGTAACTTATACTTTCCTTACAGTAGTACTGCTGATGCCAATAACATAGTAAATTTTCCAACTGTAATTTTTCTATAATTTATTGTCATTTGCTCAGAATGAGCTAAAGTCTCCACAAATATGTAAATCTCAACTTCTCCTTTGAAGGTAGAGTTACACTAGGCTAGTCTATAAGGCACATTTCAACTCTAAAATTACCCTACAATGCATGAAAATGATTTAACAACAATGTTAAGGTTATGGACAGTATAACCCTGGGGGAGTCAGAACCAATATAACTTGGAGCTTTTAATATAATACATTGTTACTAACTTATATTTTATTATTAAATGACTAAACACATTTAATGTAATCAGTTAAAAAGAAATTAACTTCTTTTAATTTATATTTCTGTTATATTTTTACTTGTTCAATTAAACTACTTTATCATTTATTTATTTTCAATCCTCACATGAGGATTTTTTTTCCATTGATTTTTAGGAAGAATGAAAGGGAGGCAGCGGGGGAAGGAGAGAAACACACAATTGGCTGCTTCCCACACTCCCTGACAGGGGCTGGGGATCCAACCTGCAACCAAGGTAGAGGTACTGCTCTTGACTGGGAATTGAACCTGAGACCCTTCGGTCCTTGGGCTGACACATTAACCACTGAGTAAAATTGGCCAGGGCAGTTAAACAATCTTAAAAAAAATCAATACCTATACAAATATGCCTGGGTTAAATTATTATTAATTTTAATCCTCACCTAAGGATATGATTTTATTGATGACAGACAGATGTGAGGGAGAAACACTAATCAGTTGCCTCCCACATATACCCTGACTGGGAATCAAATCCGCAAATGAGGTGTATTACGCCTTGACCAGGAACTGAATCTGCAAGCCTTTTGGTACACTAAGATGCTCCAACCGAGTCACTTGGTTGAGGCAGGGATAAAATTATTTTAAAATATACACACACACGTGTTGATTTATTTAAAAATATAAAACAAGTATGAATATAAAGTCACTGTATTCTCTACACTTTTTGCCTATTATTCTCACTCACAACGGATTATTGTGGCAATTAGATCATAGATTTCACCATATACTTTAATAGTTTTAAAGTATCATAAGAAAAGATACAATATAATGTAATGAAATGGAGCTTAGTTTGTTAGGAGTAAACATTAAGCATGATTAGTTATTGGAATCAGAGTTATAGAATTACCTGCTGTGATAGTGGAATCTTAAAAATGGACAGCTCTTGCCCAGTCAGTATGTCTCAGTGGTTGAGCATCAACCTTTGCACCAAGAGGTTGCCAGTTCGATTCCTAGTCAGGCCACACGCCCAGGTTGTGGGCCAATCCCCAGTATGGGGCATGCAGAAGGTGGACAATCTATATTCTCTCTCATAGATGTTTCTATCTCTCTCTCCCTCTCCCTTCCCCTCTCTCTAAAATCAGTAAGAATAAAAACAATTTTTTTAAAAGGCAGCTCTGCTAATTCTTAACTCGTAATAATGAACAACTGAATTGTGGTCACTTAGGTCTCCTACCAGCCACTTGATATACTAAGGGCAACAACTAGTTTCTGAAAGTCAGTATGTATCTAACATTATTTTTAAATGAACCACAAAGCTGAGACATTTTAAAAGTTTATATTTTTAATTTAAAAAACTTCTTGTTATGCTTTGAGTGTTTTTATCATCCCAAATCTGTATGTTGAAATCCCAAACACCAATGTGTTAGCATCAGGAGGTTGTGGCTTTGAGAGACAATAAGGTCATGAATGGGACCAGTGTCCTTATAAAAGAGATCTCACAGAGTTCCCTCACCTATTCTGTCACAGAAGAGCACAAGCGTTTACATAAACTAGGCAGTAGACCCTTAAAAGATAACAATTCTGCTGGTGCCTTGACCTTCAACATCTGCCTATATGTATACTCTGAGAAATAAGTGTTTATGAGCCATGCAGCAATAAATGTTGTTACAGCAGCCCAAGCAGACTAACACAGAATTTATTATGTACAGTTATAGTCTCAATGTTTATTAAATAAAAAAGTCAACAGCTAAAAAAAACATTTTAACTCTAAAAAGAGATCTTGTAGTCTAAAATGGTCCTGACCTGCCTAATCATAAAAATCACCTGGGCCACCCAGGCTGAGTATCTACCTCAGTTGGTTAGAGTATCATCCTGATATGCAATGTTGCAGGTTCAATTCTCAGTCAGGGTACATACAAGAACAATGTTTCTGTCTCTCTCTCTCTTAAAAACAAAACAACAACAACAACAAAAATTCACTCAGGCCATAATGAAACAGATTTTCAGTCTTTGAAATTTATTAAATAGATATACAACCTCAAAAATGACTTTCTAGGAGTATTAGATGATTCTTATCATCTGCCTGATCATATGAACTAGTATAAACTGGTAAATCTCTTATTCTGTGTATTAATAAAATTTAAATAATTTATTTTTCCACACACACTAATACCAGCTTTTACAAATCCCCCAATTTTTATTAACAGGGTCCCAGAAAATCAAAGGCAGACTGTCTTGGTTTAAATCCTAGCTACTTTTTCTGTATGGCTTGAGTTTCCACATTTGTAAAATGGAGATAACTGTATCAACTAAGGTTAACAGACTAATACAACTACCACCCCCAAGAATGTTGACATCCTAATACCAAGAACATCTAAATATGCTATGTTTAATGCAAAAGGAATTAAGGTTGCACTTGGAATAAAGACTGCTAAATCTGTTTACCCTGAGATGCAGAGATTATTCTGCCATTATATGACTAGTTTCAACATAAAGAAAGAGTGCTATGGTCCAAAAAACAGGCAGAAGAATTAGTGTTAGAAAAATTCAAAGTGAGAAACACATGACTGGCCATTGCTGCCTTTAAAGAAGAAAGAGGACCCAGATGCAAAGGAATGTGGACAGCATCAAGAAGCTAAACAAAGGGCAGGGAAACAGATTACATTCTCTTGCTCTAGGAAAAAACACAGTTCTGCCAATTCTTTTACATTAGCCCAGGAAGACCCATTTCAGACTTCTAACACTCAGAACTTAAAAAAAATAAATTTGTGTTTTAAGTGACTAACTGTGTTGCATTTTGTTAAAAGAACAATAAAAAACTAATGTTATATGTAATAAGTTTAGGAATTAGTACCCAATAAATAACAAAATATGTATCATTTGAACACATCACGCCAAACACAATAATCCAATTAAGATAATATAACTAAAATTTAGTTTCTGAATTTGAAAAAGTTGTGGCATGAATGTGAACAGAAACTTGAAATACTCTATATACACGGAACACATATATTTAGACATGAATATTCTGTGCTAAGACCCACATAATCCTTCCCCTACAATCATGTAAGGTATTATTATTATTATTCATATATTAAAAAAATACTTTTATTGACTTCAGAGAAAGAAAAACATCAATGAGAAAGAAACAATAACTGACTGCCTCCTGCATACCCCCTCCTGGGGACCAAGTCTACAATGCAGGCATGTGCCTTGACTGAAATCAAACCAGCGATTTCCTGGTGCCTGGAATAATGCTCAACCAACTGAGTCACACTGGCTGGGTGCATTATCATTCCTATTTTAATAAAAAGGAAATGGAATTGGTAAAAATTTGGTAATAATTTGCCAAGTCCCCTAGGATAGTAAATAGAGAAACCAAGACTGGAGATAGGTTTGACTACGGCTTAGACTTCTAACCAGTATGTTTATTCCATTTTGAATGCCTAATTATACATTCACACTATGCTGTGTGGTGCTTTCTCTTTTTTTTATCCTCACCCATAAATATTTTCCATTTATCTTCAGATAGAGTGGAAGAAAGGAAAGGATGGGGGTGGGAGAGAGAGACAGAGAAAGAAAGAGGGAGAGAAACATCGACATGGGAGCAACACATTGATTGGTTGCCTCCTGCATGACCCTGACCAGGGCTATGGACAGACTGCAACTGAGTTACATGTTATTGACCGGAACTGAACCTGAAACTCTTTGGTCTGAGGATCCAAGGTTCTAACCGCTGAGCTAAACCAGCCAGGATGATGTTTCTCTCTTTATTTGCTTCCCTCCCTTCCACTCTACCTAAAAACCAATGGAAAAATATCCTCAGGTGAGGTTGAACAAACAAAAAAAGAGGGATCAGATTTGTTAGAAACTGATCTTAAAAAATAAAAATAAATAAACCAGTTAGAAAAAGACAAGTATCCCACAATTTCACTTATATGTGGAATCTAATAAACACAATAAACTGA